AAACAAACATTTACATGCCGTCTTTCGGTGAGTATAATTCTGCTACAAAAACAGCGGTTCTGGCAAGGAAAGTCTGGGTGGAGTTGGTGCTAAATAAAACAGTAGCAGGGGAGGACATGCTGAGTTACTGCCTCATCTGGGCCCCGCTGGAGACGTCAGCATCATCCCCCACCGCAGCCGAAGCCAGGTTATTTTTGGGTTAAAACTCATCTGTGGTGCTCTTGCGGCTCACAGAGCTCAGCGGGTCTCAAAACAATAATGGCTCTATTTCACTGGCAGATATCTAGCGTGTTTCATTTGTGAAATATTCTGCAAGGATGCAATTCTGCTTCCGACTCTTATTTCAATTCCACCGTGATTTCTTTCAGTCATTTGGAAGGCCCTCCTCGGTAAATACTGTATATACTAAAGAAAAAATCTACACAGAAACAACACGTTTATTGTTACATAAACAGAACTGCAAAAATAATGTTTTCAAACACTCTCCCTATCTTTCACTGGCCAGGCAAACATATAGTCGCGGCCAATCTCACACTATTGGCTGAGTCGGTGTTGCCGGTTTTGAATTTGATTGTACGGGTCAAAATGGGAGTGGGCGGGTGGGCAAAGTTTGGGCTGGTTTGGGAGCAGTTTGGCAAAGTTGCATGTACTGTACTCCATCTAGTCATCCAGTAAGCCATCATGTTGTTATTAAACACACACAGCAGCTGGTGTTGGTTAGACGAGCCGCACTTTTAGCCAGTCAAGAGCTTTAAAAGACAGACGTGATACTCTGAGTGACATTTTTTAGCACAATAAGGGATCAAGTTTTGAACTTGTAGTAGTATAATGTAGTGATTGCTACGCCAAAGTAGTATAAATATAAGTTGTAGCTACAGTAAAGAGTGGGAGAGTGCATCAAACCATGGATTGTTCTGTTTGAGATATCTGTATCTGTGTATTTTGTCAAGTCTTTGAATTTGAATTCCACACCCAGTAAATGTCCTCTGGCTCCGCCTGCTACAGTAGCCATGCCCCCAAACTCTCACTATTGGCTGTGCGGAGTTATGCAAATACATATTTTGACAGGCAGGTAAGACACCCTATCACTGCATTCAGACCAAATGCAAAGATTGAACGAACATTTTATGATCAAGAGACTTCCACAGAAGATATATTTATATAGTTTAATATTTAGACTACTTTAATTATTGATTGCTATCAGGATATTAAGAGGCTTTCAACCAGTCAAACAAAAAATGTTTCTGGGAAAAACTGCCTACCCTACCTTTAAGGTCTTTTAATTTCTTGACTACCATTTGCAAATTCTGACATACTTTATATGGGTACCATATGGGTAGAATTTTTTTATATAATTGCTCATTTTCTTCTACTGTATTTAATATGTTTGATCTGTTTAAATGTGGTATTGTTCTCCTGTCTGGAAATTTGATTCATTTTTATGACTTTATTTTGTCAGTCAACCTTTGTTCACATGGCATTAGATTTCTATCAAATGTTGTTGGTTGTGAATTTTTTGACCAGGTTTTGGAGAGCTTTGGGGCTGGAAATCACCAACCCAATCTGTCAACACACGTCTCTTCAGAAGGCTTAGATTAAACCGCTTGATTCATACAGATTACTTTTTTCAGATCTCCTTATTAACTTTCAATGGAAGAACAAAAATATGTTAGATTTCATTAAAATACCTTCATTTGTGTTTCAAGCTTAAAAGTTGTATTGGCTTGGGATGATATGGGGGAAAGTAAATTATGGGTATGTATGAACTGATAACTTGTGCATAATATTTTAGTTATTTTTAAGATTCATTAAAAAGAGCTACTTCATAATAGTGGTTCATGAATTGGACTACACTGGTCGTGCCATATGTTTGTTGTTGTGTGCAACCATTGAGGACAACACAAAAGAAACATGCATTAACTATTCATAGACTTTGTGGCACAGAATCACTCTTTCTCATCTCATTCAATTCAGACTAACAAGCTCACAACTCTAAACATCATAACTAAAACATTACTGCTTTTGCTATGACACTGCCCTTAATATAAGTGCAGGAAATGCTGTAAGAGTATTTTAGCATGTCCACATCAATAAAAAGTAATGGCTGACTGACAGAAGCATGTTTTCAGAGACACAGGGTGAAGTAAAGAGGGAAAGACATTTGCTATATGTATGGTTTGATGTGTGGCAGCATCTCTTAATTGCAGAAGTGCCACAAACTCCCATCTCAGAGGAGACGATAACTCCACCATTAGCTGCATATTTAATCGCACCCAGCATGCAAATGTGTCATCTGTTTGAACAAAAGAAAGCCTGTTTTTGCGACCCGTTTGAACGGGGATCATTGCCATACGCTGGATTTAGTCCACTACATGCTGTAACTGCTTCATAAGCCACATGAACATTAAACTTTAATTAGCTTGTGAATCACAAAATGATGCTTTCTTTTGCTCTTGTTTAGTGCTCAACATTAAACTTAAACAGCCAGTTGGGAAATCTGCCACTAGCCAAGGTCTAGACGTGTGAGAGGACAACTCAAGACCCATATGAGTCATTGAATATCATGATAACATGCTTAATAATATATTTATGGGGGAAGCACCACCCCAAGCTCAGCAAGTGAGGAACCAGAGGAAAACGACTGTAGTTACCTGTATTTTTTTATTTATTTATTTTTATTATTATTATATATATTTTTTAAGCGCTGCTTGTACTTGCTTAGAATAATTGGACTATATTTAAATCCCTTGTGTCCATTTGAGCGCTCAGTCGTAACCTTCCAATCACCACCGAAGTGTTTTATTTATATGAATATAGCTTGATCTCAGCCAGTTCATTTCACCCTAATTTCTCATGCTCATATGCTCACATTACTCAGCGTGAGCACATATTCAAGCGGATCAGAAATTATGAATCTCTAATAAGTGGCAGTCCAGCAGGGGAAGCATACACACTGCAGAAATACTTCGAATGACGGTCATTGATATTACATTCTTATATGTATAGAAGCCATTAGGAGCGATAAACGCGTGCTTCTGACCGCACACTCACACAGCTAATGAAACATCAACCTTAGAAATAAACAACCGTAACATTGAGGTTATGCATTGAGGTGTAACATTGAGGTGTATGCGTTTCAACCCCAGTTGAAACGCATACACGAGAATGCGTGTTTCATTTAAACTTGTTCTCATGGCCTTTGCTGAATAATACTGAATACAGCTTATATAGAAATGCCGCGATAGGTGTCGTATTCCTATAGGTAGATGTGATCAGCTGAGAATCAGCTGATGCAAGCTTGACTCACGTGACCTGCCAGAACTAACGCTAAAGCTTAATATATGATAATAAAGTTATTGTTGTGAAACCAGTACTTCCCCCTCCCTTATTTTTCCTTTGCACTGCATCTTCCACAATGCCAAGCAAACTACACTTGGGGGGGTACCACATGGTTCCGTTTTAGGCCCTGTTTTGTTCTCCCTATATCTTCTTCCTTTAGATATGATTTTTTGTAAGTATCAGATCTCATACCATCTTTATGCAGATGATATACAGCTTTATCTTCCAATGAAACCAGATGGCAATATATCTCTCCAGTCTTTGATTGTTTGTATGAGCGAAGTTAAAACTTGGATGGCGGAACATTTTTTACAGCTAAATGATTCTAAGGCTGAAGTGTTGGTCTTTGGATGGCCTGAATGTGCTTCCATCCTATCTAAAACTCTGCATCCTATAACTAAAACTGTAGGCACTTGTGCTCGGAATTTGGGTGTCATTTTTGATCCGGCACTCAAATTTGATAAACAGATAAGTTCTGTTGTGAAATCAGCATTTTTTCAGCTTAGGATGCTTGCTAAAATAAAATATTTTCTTTATTTTAAGGATCTGGAGACTGCTATTCATGCATTAATTTCAACAAGATTGGATTATTGTAATTCATTGTATCTAGGAATTACTCTGTCTTGTTTATCTCATCTCCAGATGGTCTAAAATGCTGCGGCCAGATTTTTAACAGGGACCAAAAAGAGAGAAAGTATCACTCGAGTTTAGAATTCAGTTTAAGGTACTACTGTTTGTGTATAAATCTGTGGCAGGTTTGGCACCATGTTACCCGTCGGATTTCCTCTCGTTCCATGTGACTAACAGGCCTTTAAGGTCATCAAATTCTTTATTGTTGTCGGTACCTATGACACGCTTAAAACTCAAGGGGATCGTGCTTTTTCAATGGCAGCACCTAAGCTGTGGAATAATTTGCCATTGTATGTAAGATCAGCCTCCTCTTTTCAGGTTTTTAAATCATCACTTAAGACTTATCTTTTTAAATTGGCTTATGGTCTGCAGTAAATTCTGTCTAATATTTGATTATGTGTGATGTTATCTTTGTCATAAATTTGTGATTTGTTTTATATGCTTAGTTGTTTTATGTATTTATTAATTTTTTTGTACACCACTTTGGTCGACCCTGTCATTATTAAATGTGCTATATAAATCAATAAAACTAAACTAAACTAAACTACACTTGCTGTAATCTAGTGCACTACATTACCCACACTCATTCGGTCAAGCGCCATAAGTAGACCTCACTTCCTTCCTTTTTTAAAATGTAATTGATTGCACACCCAACCTTTGAATCCTTTCCAAAGGATGCATTAATGACTTAAGACCATCCTTTCATGTGAAATGTTCATCAAAGAGAGCAAAGGACTGGTGTTTGTCCCATTTTCTAATCAGACATGCCACCATGTTTCTACATTCCCAATGAACTTCCAATTCAATTAATATCAGATATTTTTGCTGAACATTCAATAAAATGGTTTATTTATTAAATAACCACGTGGTAATTCCTATTTTTGGATAATTCACAGATTAATTGAAAAGTACTTCACTGCATTGACATTATACCTTCCTGCTCTAGCACTGGATATCTGTCCATCCATCCAACAAGGTTACTTCAAATCATATTAAACGTGGATCAAATGAGGGAGAAAAAAAGCACTTACGTAATTAGAGGCAAGATCTGGATGTAGGTAATCAATACCTGCAAGGTGATGGCAAAAGGACACATTACTGGACGTTTAATGTTTACATTATTGCACATTGTCAAGCCTTTAAGTGTTAATAACTGCTCTCTGGCGGCCAGATTTCACGCACCGTCGTCCATGATGGCGATGGTCACACCTTTGCCGGTGAAGCCCAAGTTCCAGGCTTCTGCCACATTGAGATCCAGCCCTGGGGTCCCATCCGCTTGGCCTGTATTTATCTAATCAAACAACACCAAAGCGTCACACGAGCTGAGCATCCACCATGTAGAAAATGAGATGTTATGAGGGAGGTGGCGCAGGAGGGAAAATAAATGTCACGCAGATATTACAGTTCGCTGAAACCCTGCTGTGCGGTGTTTATAGCTGACAAACTAAATTAAAGATCGTTCTCCCTGGCAAAACAGACAGGGATGCCTGTCACGATAAGCCCTGGAGAAATAAGGAAGATATCAGCGTGTTTTGACGCTAGCTCACGCACCAGTGTTGACGGAGACGGCTAATGAGGAAAATGGTTTAAATGAGGAGTATCAGCGATCCCGGCTAATCCAATGCAATCGCTTCCAATGCTGAAGGTCAAATCAAATGAGGACATTACGAGCTGTAATTACTTACAAGATACCACTGCTTGGTGAAAAGCGGGTCACTCATGTTGACGTCAATGTTATTGATTTCTCTGTAGCCCCTCTTTTGACGGCCAAAACCCTCCTGAGGAAACACATTTTTCACCTGAAAAACAAAGCAAAGGCAACTTTTATTGGATTTCAGGCTTGCAGACTCACACGTCTGTGCTTGAATACCATGTTTCAGTCAACAAATACCATACTAAGCGTGCAGCAAAGTACAGTTGGAAGATAGCACACCTCTGTGCACGTTCTTGCTTTTTTTTTCATTGATTTTTTCACTATTTTGTTTAAGGCAGTTCTAATTAATACAGAGTTCTGGCATGAAACTCTAGATGGCGCAGTCCGATAGGTCTAACTCAATCTGACCTAATGACATTTGACCCAATGAGTTCGCTGCTCAACATTCAAATATATGACTAGTGCTTGCCGTAGCAGTGCAGCTTGCTTCAGAAACCCTCCACCTTCCCTAGCTCCACCTGTATAGATCTGCTACGGGGTGATTCATGTATGCTATATGGGGGTTATTTCATGTATGTTATATTTGAAACAGCAATATTTCTTACATGCTCACAGCAGCATGTTGTGGATGTATTGGCAGTAGCAAGTCTTGGTACTTGCTCTGCCGCAGCAGCATCAGCGTAGCAGATCTATTCCGCCAAGACCAAATACATTAACATTGTCATGTACATTACCATGCCAATCCCTCCGAGAGTTTTCATGACAGAAATGAATATCATCATAACTCTCTGGGTGATTGTTTACATTATGTATGGCAAATAAAGGTATTATCTAATTAAATATGCATTAATTTGCACGCATTGCAGAAATCTGAACATTTGATAAAGCCAGGTTCATAACTCTTGTTTGATTTTATTGTCAAATTAAAGGTTTTTACACAGGGGATTTTGGATTTCTCTTTTTATCACCCCATGAATCAGAAAAAAAATCCACCATGTTTTCAGGAATAAATTAAATGTTATATATATATAATCAGATGGAGGATATATGAACAAACTCCTCGGTAAAAGCCTTCAGAATATAGATAGAAATAAAACTGTACAATTTGGTGTATGAAAGTGTTGCTGAAATGGAGGAAAAACAATGTTTTTACCTGTATTTTCTTGCCTTTAAACATTAACTTTTGAGCAAATTCATTAAGTAGGACCTATAGACCCCAATCTAGTGGAAAAGCCTGCTGGGAACACCAGCATCCAAAACACAACATCTGCTGGTGATCAGCCATGACGTCTCATCAGCCGAGCACAGCACAGAGTGCAGGTTACTCATGGCTGGATGGCTGTCCTTTAAAGCAGCTTCCCAGCGTGACCTTTGACCTCAGCAGCAGCAGAAGCCCCTGAAGCCCAAAATGTTATATATATATAATCAGATGAAGGATATATGAACAAACTCCTCGGTAAAAGCCTTCAGAATATAGATAGAAATAAAACTGTACAATTTGGTGTATGAAAGTGTTGCTGAAACGGAGGAAAAACAATGTTTTTACCTGTATTTTCTTGCCTTTAAACATTAACTTTTGAGCAAATTCATTAAGTAGGACCTATAGACCCCAATCTAGTGGAAAAGCCTGCTGGGAACACCAGCATCCAAAACACAACATCTGCTGGTGATCAGCCATGACGTCTCATCAGCCGAGCACAGCACAGAGTGCAGGTTACTCATGGCTGGATGGCTGTCCTTTAAAGCAGCTTCCCAGCGTGACCTTTGACCTCAGCAGCAGCAGAAGCCCCTGAAGCCCATCACTGTAAACATGACATCAGCCATTCCTCACAGACAATGACACTCTCACATTAGCATGTGCGCTCGCTCCAGATAACAGATCAAAGTCTGCACTCGCATTTAAAGAGCGCTTTGATGACGGCACAAACCAAAACACTGCCATCAAACGAGCATTTTCATTTTCACAGCCATTTTGATTGTTCATTTACATTTTGATCTTGTTTGCATCGCCAAGTGTAAACAGATTAGAGAACATTTTATTGCTCAAAACACTGAAAGCCGATGACGTTTTGATTATTTCTGTGAGCAGATGGGATTCCCGACCTTAGATGAGAGTCTATTGCGAAACATATAGCATTCTGATTGGTCAATACAGCATTCCAGATGTGTTAAAATATATAATATACAGTCATTCCTGCACAGCATCGCAGAGGCCAAATATAACCTTCGTTTACATACTGTATCTCCTAGCGTAAAGACGAAACATGTTTAACATACTTCTATACTCACAGCTAATGTGTAATAAAATAGTGTTTTAAAGTAAAAAAAATAAGGACACAAATTATGTAGTAGCATTTTATAATTTTTGTGACTCATGTTGGAATAAATCTGTTCATTGAGCACAATATGCGGCAAATTATTGCAATTACTTTGGACCTTCACATCCATTAAAATATCATTACCAAAACAAAAACACTAATAATGAATTGCGCAGAGCTCTCTGTGAGATTATAAATAACTCTCAGTTTTGCAAATGAACGGCAGCAGCTGGAGCCGCAGGAGAGGTCAGAGCTCTCTGACCCCGTTGATCCAGTGTGAGAGTAAATCAACAGATGAGGTCTCTCAGACTCAGTCATTCGCTCTGCTTGTCTCCTGTGTGTGATGTCTCTGCAGGTAAGGGTCATGCTAGGATGCATAAAGCATCCTGGGCGAAATGGAAATCTGGGCCAATTTTGAATTCTAAATCTCAAAACAAATTGGAAATACCCTCACAAATACAGAACCATGTAATACAATTACAAAGTTATTTCTAATGCATTACAGATAAATATGAGATGAGGTTATGCTGAATGTCTGTCAAAGCTTAAAATACAGTAGATGATTTAAAGTAATAATTCAGACTACAAACACAACACATAATCTGGGTGACTGTTACACTCTCACACTGTTTGTTTTCAGGTTACAGTAAAATACTGTTAAAATGATTGTATAATTTACAGTGAAAAAACGTAACTTGACATAGCCAGAATTCCCTGCATGACATTTCACAAATGATGTTTTTTCTTTGAAATAACTTTCTTCTTAATTTTTCTTATCAGTTAATAATAATACATTTTATTTATATAGCGCCTTTCCAGAGCTCAAGGACACTTTACAATAAACATCCAATATGTGAAGATAACATGAAACAATAATACAGAGGATAACAAATCCAGAAATTTAGATAAACTCCGCCCCCGGGAACATTGCACTGCTTTAGAGTAGAGGAAGAGTTGTTGCCATGCCGTCAAAACTAGGGGTGCACAAAAAAATCTATTCATATACGAATCGCGATTCTGTCTTCTAACAATAATGGATTCACAAGTTTCAAAATCAATGTTCTAAAGCAGCGGTTCTTAATCCTCGCGTCGCCCTGCTAACATAAGTAGTAGCATTTACAAATAACAGCGTATCTAAAAGTATGAGACAACAACAAACAAAAAACTAGGGCTGCCCCCTAATAGTCGACTAATCGTTAGTCGACCAGAAGAGGCTTGCTCGACCAAAATGTTATTAGTCGCAGAAAAAAAAAATCCACATTGGCGAAGTCACGCAGATCGTTAACGGCTGGGCTATGGTAATACAGTACATCCAAACACTCGCCTATCATTCATCCACCACCAATATGGCTTATCATCTGAAATATGGAAGTATTAGCAACTTTACATGGCCGCTCAAACTAATGTTAACCTAGAGAAATGTGCGCTATTCCAGTGTCTGTGCAGAAGCTGAACATTAGCGCTCACTGCAGGACAGATGGAGGCGCCGCTGCGCTCACTTGCTCTTAAAGGTCCCATATTGTCAAAACTGAAATTTCCTGGCTTTTTTCATGATAATTGAGGTCTAGGTGCTATGTAACCTACCATATAAGTTTCAAAACAGTCAGTCCACGATAAAATTCACACAGCCTGCATTAAGTAGCTGTCATTTTTCACGAACCGTTGTGACTTCTGTAAAAGGTTGACGTCAGAACTACACAGTCACCGCCTTCAGTCACCACCCCGAGCACCGCCCACCGTCCCACTCTCCTTTTGCCAAACCCCCAGACAACATCACGTCCATGCCATTGCTGAGCAACAACAACAACACGGAAACATGTCGAAAAGGTTAACTTTAACCACGAAACCAGATCGGCCGACCTGTAACGTTACACTCTCACTCAGAGGATGGACGATCTGACAGGATTGTTACTATGAGGTGGATCACATCTAACGTGTATAGTAAAGACAAACTCACCGTGTCTATCTAGTCATGATGAAGCTGTATATACATTTCAATATCAGCAGGCAACTATTTTTACAGCTACATTATTGTTCCAGCCACAATTAATCACAACAATGTATATACAATTACAAATGATTATATATAAATCATCAGTTTGTTGTTTTATGCACACAGACATTATTTCATACACGACATAATCGTGAGATGCAAGAAACATAGACATATGGCAAGAAATCTGTAGACGCACCCATAACAACAAAAGACAATACTTTATTGAACCTTTTCTGATAAGAAGTGTGCGCTGCAAACGCGAGCATTTTTGACAATCGTTTCTGTCCAGTCTGCTCGTTTTATCGCGTTTAACCACAGCTGTCGTCGGTTTTTTGTCTGGCAGTGGCAGCAGATATGCGATCAGATTTCTAATTTGAGGCTGTATTACATCGATTCTGGCATCCAACATCACAACAAGATGATATTTTAAGCTTGTTATGTAGCCGAATCTGCGCTGCTTTTAATGGACCGCCTCTAGTTTCCTCTTTGTTTTGCTGCCACCAGCTAGCGCTGTGACGTCGCTGACCCTAGTTACCTGCGGTTGCCCTGGCCGTGCATCACTCAGAACACAACAGGCCAATCAGAAGAGAGGCTCATGAATACTAATTAGACAGGCCAAAATCGACCTGTTTTCAGAAGAGCTCCTGAGAGAGGAGCTGTAAAAATATATTGAGATGGTTTTTGGTACTTATACCGCAAATATATATTCTTAAGGACATCAAAACCTCAAATAAAACTCCAGAAAGGTGTAAAATATGGGACCTTTAAAATACTCCCTCAATTTTGGTCATACAGATAAGAGTAATACATCTTTCAAATCTGCAAAGACTC